TTGATAACAAAGTATAAAGGATGAAAGCGAGAATGACTTTTGTCTAAGTCAAGAACCCGAATAATGTGTTTAGTAAGGAGTTTCTTAGGGTGAAGACCTTAGGAAGTAACAACGAGACTTACCCCTTCTCACTCACGATGTGCAGAGAGGGGAAGAGGACACATCCATCAAAAGGAGGTTACTCGAGGAGAGCAGTCGCGGCAAACCTGAAGATGTAAACTGGATCTGGGTAACGAGATGTGACCTCCCATATGTCTGTCTTTAGTTTCATGTCTTAAAGAGTATACTGGGAAACTCAAGGATTGTGTTTTATGTTTTTTTCTCTGGTTTGAGGTCGCCCAAGTGTTTAGGGCATTTCAGTTGAAAATCTTAAACATTGTGGTTGTTGATTTTTGGTTTTGACTTGTAAACCTGTTTATGGTTGTTCCGGAGTAACCGGTTTGTGGTTTGAGTTATGGTTTGGTTTTCAAAAAGGATCGGGTCGTTTCAAATCGCGCGATCAAGAATCGGACTAACAACATAAAAGGACACAACCTTACGCAGTCATGAACTGTCAGGAAAAAAAAAAGAGAAGCAACAAAACATCCGCGAGGTAACTTGGAATATATTTGGATTCAAAAGCAGGGAGATAACGGAACACAAGCAATACCAACAAAAGAAAACAACAATGCACGACTACACTTGAACTAATCTATCACAACGTTCTCGGTTGTAGCCACCCCGACACCTCCTCATTCACCCACCCTCGCCTCGACCACCTCATCCTCTTCCGTCTCGGGCTCAGAGTCAGGATCCAACGGCTTCTTCTCACCCAACCAGCGCTACACATGATGAACCATGGCGCGAGTGTTCCAGCGGATCCCAGGGTTATCAGGCTGCACCTTCTTCCGAACCGCGATCACAGCCTTGGTCATACAATCGGCCAGCAACTTGTCGAACGTAGTGGATGAATTGTACTGAATGACGCAGTAGCCTGCGCCTTTCGGACGGCTTCCACCTTGGCCACCTCATGAAGGCGGACCAGATCCTCCTTCTCCTTCTGAAATTCATCACGGACATTAATGAGCATCTCTGCATGATCAAATTCCAAACGACGCTTCTCCTCATCTTATTCCCGCTTCACATCCTCCTGAATAAGCTCCCGCTCCTCCGCCCGAACTTGTTCCTTCGCCGCTTGGACATCCTCCGTCAGCTTGCTCTGCAAAATCTACAGCTACTTCAGCGCTTCGTTAGCCTCTGCCTTTCGCGACCGTTCTTGTTGAGCGCAAAAAGTCAACAGTAAACCCTACATATACGATGCCAAAACACTTAGAAAAACCACAACTCTACTCAATACACTTACACGCATAAGAACACTACAACTTACCGATGAACCTGGGAGGTCTTGCAACGGGTCGGACTTTTCCATGCGCGGCTGAGCTGTTACAAGCATCGCTTGCATGAATGCGCATGTCGCGAAGGTAGCTAGTCACGACGGGCCCGAACCCTGGTATTTCGGGCAATGTTTGCTGAACGGTTTCACCAGAGGAGCTACCTGCAGCCACCTTCTCCGAACGCGGCGGCTTGCTTGCACACAGATACTTCTCAGTGACAATCCTGGGCGCAGTCTCCACCGTCCGCGCCGCCTTCGACACCCTCTCTGCAGCGGCGGGCTGCTCCACATCCTTCCTCTTCTTCTCCCCGCGAGGAGCCCGGGGAGCCTTCACGACGTCATCCACGGACATCATACTCACAAAAGATGAGAAATCCACACCTGCGCCAAAATGTCGTAAGAAGCCCGTTAATATGACCAGAATACAAAGGAAAAAGAAAGCAACTAACCATCTCCAAACAGTTCCTCCAAATACGTCGCCCGGAGTCCGCTTTCATAGAGGTTGATTCTTTGCGAGAGGCACGCCTCATACTCCTGGTCAAGACCGTCGTACGCGCCAACATCCGACTCAAACCCATTCACGCTCCCCTTCTTCCAAACAGTGGGCTCCTCTACGTACTCGCTAGCCCACTCACTAGGAGCGGGCTTCACAAAGAAAAATTGCTCGAACCAGTTCTTCTCAAGATTTTGGCGAGCCATACACGCACTTATCCGGCCTCTTATCCCTACGCTTGATAGATAAACAGTCACTCTTCTCCGTCGGCCCCTTTATCTTGTAGATCTTGCGGAACAAGTCGTAAGAGGGTTGCAACTTCAGCCTTTTACACACAAGGTGGAGGCACGATACGTGCATTATCATCGACGGAGACAGCCGCGCAACAAAGCACTAAAGCCTCCTGTACAACGCGCACAACAGCGGATCGACAAGGAATTCGAATCCCATTTCCCAGTACTCAGAATAGACCCCAAACCACTCAGGGGCAATCCCCAATCCGAATCCGTGACGTGGGAACCGCGTACTGCCAATTGGGGGGGGGGGGGCAACTTTCCTACGCCCATAAATGGACACATGATCTGGTACGCGCACAAGGTTATCGTTGGGCTGTCCCACACCACGGACTCCAAGGCGGCTCACGGCTTATGTCACCCGCGAGACGCAAACCAGATCTGACGAGGTGTCAGAGGTCTCCGCCAGATCAACAGGAACAGAGCTGGATCCACTACCGTGCTCGCGCCAGATGATCAGCACCCCGCGCGCGCGTGAAAAATATCTGCTACCCATATGGCCAAGCATATCTACATCGGAGGAGCTGTGAAGAAGATCCCGTCCAGCGTCGACGTCGTAGGACGGCGTCGCTGGAAGTCCCCCATCATCAGCTCCGCCGCCGTTCCCGTCGTCGGCGTCATCCAGATCCAATGAAGGATCAATAGAAAGATGCGAAAGTGGAGAAAGATTACCTTCTTCGTCTTGAATGAAAGGTTTTGACTTGTAATCTGAGTATTGACGACGATATATAGCAGAAATAAGGTCGTGGGAGAAGGAGAAGAATCTCGCAAACAGATAACTATCTAGAGAGAGGAAGCAAAGAAAGTAAAAGAGCAAAAGGAAAGAATAACCCCCCCCCCTTCAGTAAAATAGTAGGAGTATTTATAACTAACGAGGGGTAACTCAATCGACGAAGGGTTAGCCAACGATTAAGTGTGCATCGAGAATCGCAACCATATCCAATCAGCGATTTTGAATTTCAAAAATCGCCACCCAAACGAGTGAACGAGAATACGCCACGTCGACACCTACAAACGGTAGGCTAAAGGCGGTGACGTCACAGGTTCCGCACACCACCTGGGGGGCAAGGTATTTCCGCAGAATGGAAAAAATATTCAAGAAACAACACCAGCAACGCGGAATCAAAAGATAGAAGAAGAACATCGCAAACAGAGAGGTCGGTCGCGCATGATCAACAACAAGAAAACACACAGAGCCGCGGAAGAAACAAACAGAGGGCATTCGCGGAATGCCCCCTGATGGGGGGCAATTGTTGGGGATACGGCTTGGGACTTATCGCGCCAATAAGTCAAATAAGTTTCGCTCATAAACGTCAGCGGCCGAGCCACCACGATCACAAGAGGAACCAACACGCGAAAAGATTCTCCTCGCGGAAATACTTTACTCGCAGAATAGTCTCCGCGTGTATGAGAGCGCTCACCGAAGTCAAGGCGCTAGACGACGTCGTTTTGCTCAACCCAGTCCGGCTGAAGAAACCAAGAAAATGACACTGTTCCCCCAAGCGCTAGACGATGTCGTTTTGCCCCACTCAGCCCAGATGAACAAGCCAAGGAACGACACTGTTTTCCCTCTAGGGAACGATCACATCCTAGTCCTAGGTATAATCATGGTCTAACTTTCTGTCAATCTCATTAGTCATGTCGCATTAATTATCCACCCACCACAATGTAGCCCATAAATATGACATTTACTCCGGTGGGGAAGAGATCGCATTTTGACTCTCTCACTCTAGAATATCAACTTCTCTCTCTAATATCTCCTCTCTCTCAATTATTGCCCACTTGTACCCCTCAAATCACCATAAAGAAGGAATCAGGCCCTGTTTGGTCACTCTTCTCACCCCCACTTTTACCCGAGTCTCACTCCTACTCTCAGTTAGGCTTAAACAATTATCAAACATCCCCTCAGTTAAAGTTTCCGTAAAAAACTGTAAACCGTGGTCGAACTGTGGTTTGGGTGACAAAAATGTCTACAATATCTCTAATAATTAACTCACTTTCACATTTTTAATTTTATTTATAGCCCAATACCCCTAATAATTTTACTTTAGCGAGACTTGGAGAAATAAATGGAGGATCAAAACTGAAATTTACCCTCCCTTATGCGAAGCTCATATTGTCCAAACCACAGTTCGATTGTGGTTGCCAGTTGTTTATGAAAATTTTATCAATATGATATGTTTGATAATGTTTATAAAGTACATGAATATATTTGATATAAAAATATAATAAAAAAAGTATTGGTTCTCGAATTGCGAATTGCAATTTGTTTTACTTAATAGTAAAAGGTAACTGATTCAATGAAAAAATATATAATAAAAATACTTATTTCATAAAAATACATAGTACATATATTATGATTTATAATGATCTCTAAAAAATTCTTCCTCGGAGCTCCATGCCCAACGCAAGAACTTCCAAAAAGGAAGAGCCATAGTTGAATCAGGAACATTTGACTTATCTATGCAAATTTCCGTGTAGGAATTGTGATGGCAAGCCTGAAATTTTGAGTGTGCTTGGTCTGTTCTAGGGGTGGGTATTGGTTTGACCAAGCCGCTCCAAATCGCCCCAAACCGCTTATGCGGTCAATCCAAACCGCATCATTAAACTAACGGTTTCATTTGCGGTCTGATCGTTAACCCTTGGCGGTTCACGGTTCGGATTGACCCAAACCGCTCGGTTGCGGTTTGAAACCACAATCCGCTAATTCCTAATACGCCTAATCTAGGTCAGACGCCTCTTCTCACCACACAACTCACGATAACAGCTATCCTATCGACGACGACGGCACGACGCCATCTTCTCTTCGGCGGCACCATCTTCTCTCCACGGCGCCATCTTCTCTCCGGCGGCACCAGATCTGACCATTCTCTGGTTCCGCCATCTTCTCTCCACGGCGCCATCTTCCCCAGCTTTGGCAGACTGTCAAATACACCAAGAGGCGGGAGATTTCTAGGATCGAAGGCATCTCGATCTTTCCTATTCTCGGAGCTCCGGTGCTTTGGCCGACTGTCAAAAACACCAGTACCGGCGAGATCAGGTATGCTTTTCTCCTTTGGTTCTATATTTGAAGTTACGAATCTAGGGCAGCTCTGTGTAAAGCTGCATCCAGTTGAAACCCACCCCCTACAAAATTCTATTACTGATAGTGAATAGTGTGATTTCCTCGAAACCCATATAGTCATAGTTTTCGTTCCCAATTCGTTGGAGAAAGAAGCCCTCTCCAGCTCCAGGGTCGCACTCAATTCCGAATCTCACTGTTGTTCTTGGGTCGTAGGGTTCTTATGCCACCTCATCAACCCTCGATTCATCCTGGGTCGTAGGTTTCGTAGCTGTAATGTGGGAACAAGGGAAGTGAGGAAATGAACATGGGCTTGCTTGTCCATTGATTTCCACGTCTCTCTCTGCCTCCTCATTGCTTTTCTCCTCAATTATTTGTTTTGTCCACTATTACCTCCATAGTCTCTCATCTTGGTCGTAGTCTATCCTCTACAGTTTTCTTTAGATTAGTGTTAATGACAGTTTAATGTTCATATGCTTGCAGGGCAAAATGAAATCAAAAGGCTCCAAGGGAAAACGAGCTCAAGCACCGATATCTAGCAGCAATGTGCTTAATGTCAGTGAGGTGAGTGTAGATGCATACACTGTCAAGTAGGGGAATGGGTTTTATCATTTAGCATCTAATTTCGTGAATCTATTCCCTACTGTCAGTGTGACCTTTTCTGGACCTTGTGATGAATGCATGCTTTGATCTCTGTACTCTAGTGCTAGGTTACGAAACTGTCTAGCCCTGAAGTCCAAAGAGGAATGCTACATATTTATCAAAAGCATATAGCAGCAGCATAATCATTCATGTCCATATATTTTAGATAGATTATAGATACTTTTAGACAGAGAGCAACCAGGTAGATGCTCGGATTCCGCTTGCTCCTCTGCAACTACAAATGTTTAAGTAGACAAAACTTAGAAAGCTCCGAAACTGTGAAATAACTGCTAAGTGTAAAGATACACATGGATTACAACAGAAGCCTCAATTGTCAACAGTCGAGGCACCACACAACCCATAGGAATCCAAAACAGCAACAAAGAAGGAATACAAAAATGCATTCCCCTACCAATGGAAAGAGAGTGAAACTTAAACGAGGTAACCCCTATGGCATCCCAGAGCTATTGTCAGAGGATGGGGATAGTAGTGCACTTAGTACCTCAAGGGGTATGTTCATATTTTTTTATTTAATAGTCATGAATTTCTGAAATAAAATCAGTTCTTTATCTGACACAATGCTACAGATGCCCTGACTACGTGATTGCTACTGATACAACTGGAAATTTTATAAGATTGCTTGAGAAGACCATGTAAGAAACACCACAAAAGACAATCCAGTGTATAGGCAATTCGTATTTACTGGCTGGCTGCCCTGCCCACTTCTAATAGGAGCATAGATCCAAAATTTGATTTCAGGTCTGGACAAATGTTGATTAGGTTGAGTTAAAAAATAACAGTAAACCATCCCAGGTTGAGTTAAACATTACAGAAGAGGGCAGAGCAATCCTTTCCCCAAAAGCCGGACCACCCTTTTCTTGTTGCTGCCAAAAAAGCCTTCAATTTGGCGCATATCATATCTGTTATGTTCTGTACTGTTGTGCTTCAATTTGAAAGGGCTTTATAATTTTATTCTTTATGTTCTTATGCCCTGTTCTCATTTACTCTATTATTGTTTAGGCCGAGTGTGATGATGTTGGAATGGATTCCTCAGTGGGGAAGAGATGGAAATAGAAAATGATGCAAGTACGAGCAAGGTGGCTGCTAGTGATCATATTGGTTCAGCTTCGACTGATATTGAGTCACCAATGCCAAAAGGGAGGCGGCTTAGATCAAAAGTTTGGGTCCAATTCAGGAGTTATAAGAAAGACGGCTTATTCAAGGCATCATGCATCAAATGCGGGAAGACTTATGCATCTAAATCACCCATAAATGGAACTAGTGCACTCCGCAATCATATGAGTAAACCGTGCGGTGATGGAAAAGGTATGGCTCAACAACTATTGAATACTATTAGAGGTGAATTAGATGAGGGGGATGGATCTGTGTTAGGGAGTTGGAAGTTTGATCAAGCAGCTATAAGGAAAGGATTGGCTTATATGATCATTGTGGATGAATTGCCTTTCCGATTTGTTGAATATTTGGGTTTCAAATACTTTATGTCACTTGCTTGTTCTAGATTCTACATACCTTCTAGAAGAACAGTGACTAGTGATTGTTGGAATTTTTATCTTGAGTTGAAACAAAAGTTGAAGGATGTCTTTTGCAACTGTGAAGGTAGAGTTTGTCTGACTACAGATTCATGGACTTCCAACAAACAATTGAACATGGTTAGGCTGGAATACAGTGTTGAGGTTGAGGGATCCAACCCTTTTCCTCTAAGCTTATCTTTTTTGGTAGGTGTCTTGTCTCTTTCCTTTGAAATGACTCAACAAGTAGTATATTGATATCAGCATCTTCAGCTCTTTTAGTATCAGAACCACAAGTTCTTTCATCTTTATTTATGGATAATCTGTTCTTTCAGGTTGATGGAAACTACACGGAAGCCGTCAAAGCTGAAGTACTTGTTTTGTTTGGATCGATTCCTGAACTTGACCCTAAGAATGTGGAGACTACAATTCAGAATGGTTGCTGAAGTTTTGGACAAGCCATGTTGGATCGCTGATGTTGACTTTTTCACAAGCAGAATAATGTCTTAGTTTCGTAAGGTTCAAATTGCAGTGTTGATGGATACATAGTTGAAGTTTCTGAGTTGTTGCCTTCGGTTTCACAGAACTATGTGGGCTTGATCTTCAAACTGGAATGTTTGTTGAGGTGGTCTTTCGTGATGAATTTTGTTTTAGTTGATGGGATATATAGTTGCAGCAGCTTTAATATATATACTCCCTATGTATGTATGCATAACCATATTGAGTTATTAACAGTTCCAGGAAAATTAGCTTTCAAGTGAGAAAATTAGCTTTCAAGTTCGAAGCTGTAAGCCTGTAAGGGCTGAGTCAATGCTGCTCCCTGTGAGCTGGTGACAGGATGGGGAAGAGAAACCTTCATCTTTGCGGGGCTATTGTCATATGAATTGTTAAATGGCTATTACCATAACCATTTTTTTGCTCGTGTAGGATAATATAATCTTAGGCAGATTTACTTGCAAGTTGCAACCAGACCTTATGCTTGTCATGTTGTCTTACTCTTCACCCATACGATGTTCATTTGTGCTCGTTATTCCTTCTGTTCTGCAGATGAAGACTGAGTAATTTTTATTTAATTATGTACAAACCATAATGAATTGCGGTCAAGATGCGGTGCGGTTTAAACCGTATCAAACCGTTAATTTATGCGGTTTGGTTTGACCGCACCGATAACTTAGCGGTCTCAATGCGGTGCGGTTTATATCAATAGGGTGCGGTGTGGTTTATATCATTGCGGTGCGATGCGGTCCGAACCGCACCGATACCCACCCCTAGTCTGTTCTAATTTCTAATGACAAAGCTTACATTTGTTGTGTTTTCGGATGCAAAGCAGCAGCTGTTTTTTTTTTTTTTCCGTAGAATCGCAGCAGCTGGTTTGACATCGTGGGCGAAAGTGCATTCTTCTTTTTTTTTTATTCATTATTTGGTAAGACTGCTTTGCTTTTTCTTTTTGTTGGAAAGTTGGTTGTTAAACGAAAAATACATGAACTGACTGGCCAAATTAAAGTTCAAAATTGAAGGAATTTTTGGTTAATCAGTAAATCAAATCAAAGTTTCTAATATATGAAATCAAAGGTAAGAATTTATCACTAAAACACAACGTGGGCAACTAATTATAATATTCATGCACCTTTGAAAAAAAAAAATTATAATATTCATGCACTAAGAAAAATGAGTGGTCAATATTGAGTTTATATATACACACAGCATACTCCCAATTAAAGCTAGACTCTTGTCCTCTGTTTTAAATTTTGTTGGTACTTGTCAGAATATAATCATATAGTGTAGAAACATAAGTAATTTTACTCAAAAGTAGTTAAAATACAGCCGAATCGAAAATGATTTTCACGATAAATTCATACATTTAATGTTGGTTATTAGTAGTGTCCATGAAACCATACCGTACCGGCGGTTCAACCACGAAATACCAGTATCGGCGAGGCTAAACCGGTAGGCAGTATTTACCGGCATAACGGTTGAACTACGGTTAAATCACGGTTTTACCATAAAATACCCTATCGCTGACTTTCCCGGTACGATGTCCGGTACGATTTCATGGACCATAGTTATTACACAATTCAGCAATGAAATTGGTTTAGAGACGAAATGAATGATGGAAATGAGGAATATAAAGCCGGACTTAATTATAGCATGCACTGTAACAGCTAATATTAATTGATTTATTGAGTATAAATGTAAAGAAGTTTTTTGACTTATTAGGGAGGATATTCTCCCGGTTAGCTCCACCACCACCACCCCGGTTGAAAAGAAAAAAAAATAGTGCAGAAACCATAATAGGAAAAATAAAGGAAAGCGATAACAAGAGGACGGAGAAGTGAGACGCCCTTTTTCTTCTCATTCTCTCTCTCTCCCTCTCGCTTTGAGTGACCACTAGTGTGCCGTTTTTTCTGTTAAACGGGGGTAGAATTTGTGGGTCCCAAGCCTCCCGCCCCTCAATCCTCAGAAAGGCCCCAACTGAACCTCCCACACAAAGACTTTTAGAATTCACCAATCAATTATTCGGCAGGCGCAGCTGATGTAATTTACGTACACATTCTCTTTTTTATTCCCCCCCAAACTAATCATATGTATGTTCATGCAGCCAGGAAGGAAGGAAGGAGCATTGCCACTGCTACTACCGTCCACCTTTTTCTCTCTCTCTCTCTCCTTCCACCAATCCCTTCACTTTCTCCCTCTCCTTCCGTCCAAAACATGCATTCCTCTCCTCACCTCCCTCGCTCGCTCACTATATATAGTGCCCCCGTCACCGCCCAATCCCAATCCAAGCTAACTTACTTGTCAACTCATACTACGTACTAGGCTAATAATTAGGAGTGATTGAGTGAGTGACTGATTGACTTCCCCGGCCCCTTCTCCCAAACAATGACTCGCACTCTGCCTAACTCTTCTTCCCTCCTCTCAAACCGCCACCTCATCATCGGCGCCCCTCGAAAATCGCGGCGGCAGCCCATGCTCCGCGTGGCGCTTCACTACACTTCCACATCGTGCAGCCTCTCCACAGCTGCAACTCCCTGCGCGCCCTTCACCCCGCTGCCCAAACTGGGCAAGAAATGGAGCGAGTACCAGGGCCTCAACTACTGGAGCGGCCTCCTCGACCCAATCGACGACACTCTGCGAGCCGTCATTCTCAGGTACGGCCAGTTCGTCGACGCCGCCTACGACTCCTTCGACTTCGATCCTTCCTCCCCTGCATACGGCACCTGTAAGTTCACCCGCGCCTCCCTCCTCTCCGGCCGCGGCTTTACCGGCTACCGGGTCACCAAGTTCCTCCACGCCACCTGCGGCCTCCACCTCCCTCGCTGCCGCTGGACGCCCTCCCCCCGCTCCACCTGGATCGGCTACGTCGCCGTCTGTCAGGACAAGGACGAGATCGACCGCCTCGGCCGCCGCGATGTCGTCATCGCCCTCCGCGGCACCGCCACCTGCTTGGAGTGGCTGGAGAACCTACGCGCCACCCTCACCTGCCTCGACGACTGCGGGGCCGGCGACGCGCGCCCCATGGTGGAGAGCGGCTTTCTCAGCATGTACACCTCCGGGACTGCCACGTGTCCCAGCCTCCAGAGCACCGTCAAGGCCGAGGTCGCCAGGATCATGCGCACCTACGGCGCCCACGGGGAAGCGCCGCTCAGCTTCACGGTCGCCGGCCACAGCCTCGGAGCCGCGCTGGCCACGCTCGCCGCCCACGACATCAACTCCACGTTCGCCGACGTGCCAATGGTGACGGTCATGTCCTTCGGCGGGCCCCGGGTGGGCAACAGAAGCTTCCGCCGCCGGCTGGAGAGGGGTGGAACCAGGATACTTAGGATCGTCAATTCCGATGATTTCATCACCAAAGTGCCCGGCTTCGTCGTGGACAATAGTAAAAATAATAATAATAATCACAACAACAGGGCTGGTGAGTTCCCCATGTGGGTGAAGAAGCGCGTGGAACACACTCCGTGGGGTTATGACGAGGTGGGGAAGGAGCTGCAGCTGAGGAGCGGGGAGTCGCCGTACATATTCAAAAGGGATGTCGCCACGTGTCACGAGCTGAGCACGTATCTCCACTTGGTGGATGGGTTGGCGAGTTCCACGTGTCCGTTAAGAGCCACGGCAAGGAAAATGTTCAACGAGGACTTCTGGTGTGGAAAGGTTGGGATATTTTAGTTAGAGAGCTGGGAAAAGCCATCGACAACAGAAAGGAGGTGACGAGGAGGATAGATTTATACACATATCCGAACATTTTTAGTATAAAGCTTAGCCAGGGTCGAGATTCCAACATGGCTTAATTTAACTTAATTAATATAAAGTAGCTAGCTAGATTTTTGCTTTCTTCCTCGTTTTCTAGACTATACAAATGGTTATTAATTATTAACTGCAGATAAAAAGCACAAGGATTAGCGTTATCCGGTAGAACCGAATCCATTCCAACTGAGTTCCATGCTCCTCAATTAATTAAACGAATTGAGACACATTCTATGCCGAAAGAGCTGACATAGGAGTGCATGCATAATAATAATAATAATAATAATAATAATAATAATAATAATAATAATAATAATAATAAGAAGGTATGCAGCTTGTATAATTAAATTTGGACTTTTAAGTTTTAATGGAGGCAGAAAAGTTCATATTCAAAGGGTGAGAATTAATAGTTTTTAAAATTTTCTAATTAGCTTTTATATTCTTCGTTTTAATTTCAATTTTTTTAACAAATGGAACGAGTTCATTGTGATTTAGGAAATGAAATTCATTTTCAATATATTTTGAGAAAAACAATTTCCTACCACATGTTATTGGGTAAATTGCAAGTTTGGTCACTGGAATTGTTTAAAAAGTTCACGTTTGCAACTGAAATTAATTTATTCCATCCGTAGTCACTAAGATTAGTATAACCGTTCAAATTTGGTCACTCTCCGTTAGTCTCCGTTGACTTTTTCTAATGTGGCATTCAGAGTTGACAATTGACCGTTAAATGAGTGACGTGTCAAATAAAAAATAATTAAAAAAATAAAATTAATCTTTTACAATTTTCACCTCACTATTAAAATAAATTAAAAAAAATAAATATATAATTATAATTATCATCCTCCATTGTCAGTTCCACATCTTCTCTTCTTCTCCTGTCCAAGACGTAATCTCGACATCTATCCGGCAGGCCCTCGACTCCCCGACCTCGTTGCGCTGCACAAACCTTCCAGCTGACTCAGGATTGGGTCATAAATCCGACGGAGAAACGATCCTATTTCTTCTTCAGCAATCGAACTGTCGATCGTAGCGGCTACTGGGAGGAGGACGATTCCGGCCTCTACTCTAGCGAGTGTAGGGTCCTCTGTTTTGGCTGCAGCGGAACATGGGAGCTCTGTTTTCGCACGGGAGCAACTGGGCATCAACGGATTTGGTGAACGGGAATCAGAGACCACATCCAATGGCAACCCAACAAATAGCCTTACTCTATTAATCTGCCGATAGCACAAAAACAACAAAAGAACAAAACGAATCAGAACCCATTGCTGCAAATCAACAAATAGCCTTACTCTATTAATCGGGCCGGATGGGTTTGGATTGGCCGGAGGTGGTGAGGGTGAGCTGCAGGTAAGAATGTCTGCATCTGCGGCAGGAATTTCGATTGAAGAGGGCGTCTCCGTTTCTTTTGGGGATCGTCGAAGAGGAAGAGGAAGAGGAAGAGGAAGAGGAAGAGGAAGAGGAAGAATATGAACCGTTAGAGGAGGAGCTAAAGGAGGAAAAGCATCTAGAGCTTGAGCGCGAGAATGCAGACATTGACACGACTAAAGATGTGAGTGTAAAGTGGATAAAATCTCCGTCGATGTATTTTTAGTTTATACTTTTCGTTTCAAGTTATTATTTAGTTAATTTTTGAGTAATGCACGATTATGTGTGTGAGACATCCCACCGTCTACTTAAGTTGGAGGCACGCGTTGTGCTATGGATGTGATTGTGTATGGATGATGTTAAGTAATTAACCCTTGGGCGGTTTGGCCACAACTGAACGCGGTAGATGGTCGGATCACTGCTGGACAGGGATACATAATGCTGAGAGAGCATGTCGGGGTCACTACTGGATGGAGAAACGTAATGCAGTAGTTGACCGGGCATGGACTGGACGACGAGACGTAACACAGTTCCATTACCAGTTGGGTATGCAACCGGACGGCGAGGCGTAACGCGGTTGGCATACTAGGGTAGGGACACCAGACAGCGAGACGTAACTCGGTAGTCCCCAGTATTTATGTATTTGAGTTAAGGATAGAAATAGATAACTTTTATGAGTTAGCAATAGAAGTAGAGAACTTCTATAGGTCAGTCAGGAATGATTATCTAAGGGCAGAAAGCGGGAACGAATTTCGTGCTAGGAAGAAAATCCTAATAATGTGTTAGTGAGGTTTTCCCCAGGGCAAAGACCTTAGTAAGTAACGACGAGACTGACCCCTTCTCACTCACTAGGTTGAGGAAGGGTATACGGCGACAGATTCCAAGAAGAGGTAGAGCAAGGCAGGTAGCCACGTGTTTGGTTGCATTCATTTTATTAAGATTTTTTTGAAAATTATTTTGGTCGGCTCCGGAGCCATGTGTATTTTGGTCTGTTTAAAAGGATTTGGTTGTTTCTTTTATCACGTTCTTTCGTAGAAGCATTCAAGTTCTACGACACATGAAATCTAATCAAGCGTCAATTGGTATCAGAGCCTGGTTCCGACCGACCCAAGCCAAGGAACCATGCCAACACGCAAGGCATTGACCCAGTCCTCGTCCCAAAAAGCCGATGACGACCATGAGCTAGGGAAACAACTTCAAGCACTTGTCGGCCACCAACAGGAGTCCAAAGCTAGATTCGACGTCCAGGACATAAAAAATTGTGAACACAAAGCTACCTTGGAGCACTTTTGTGTCGATGTGGGTAAGCTCCAGCGCGGACATGAGAAGAGCATAAGGTGGCTTTAGCCACGTACCACATGGATGGCGATGCGAACCAGTGGATAAAGTGTCTAGAAGAAGAGTTCACGAAGCACGAGGTGGTCATGACTTAGAGCAGTCTGTGTGCCGAGTTTTGGAAGAGGTATGGTTCATTAGAGAGATCCTTCAGGCATGAGGCGCTTGCCGAAATTCGTCAACCGGAATACAACTGGAATCCATCTGTTTGAGAGGCTGCTGAATTGCTTCCTCTGTTGGACCGATGTTGCAATTATGGGGTCGTATGCGGATGGATGAAACCAGAAATATTTGCCTACATTCTAGCTTTCAATCCCCAAAGAATTGGAGAGGCATATCGGCCGACCAGGATACGTGAAGAGGATTTGCGATTGGAGTGGGCCACGACGAGGAGCATCCCGCGAGCCACACCACCCACTATCGATGTGGCCTTAGCGCCACCACGAGCGACCCACCAACGACATCAGCCCCCGGACGAGCACCACCACCCCCTGTGCATAATTCGCAACCTATCGTCGGAGGAAGCATCTCGACGTCGCCGCGACGGATTGTGCTACAATTGTGATGATAGGTTTATGTATGGGCATTGATGTGCCAACTCAATTGTATTCGTCACGATTGGAGATTTCAAGGATGAAGATGGCAAAGTAGAGGCTAAAGAAGGCAACCTCGGGGACGAGGTCGTTTAAAAGGGGGGGATTGATGCATTATAGTATTGTGGGTCGAGTTTGGCTATTTTGATTATGATTATCAATTATCGGTTGGAATATTCGATTAATATTTGGTTATTCATATTAGTTTGTGTATAGGATTATTTTTAATTATTGTGTCTTGTCTAGGAAGTATCGTTCACCTTTTGGTTTAGTATTGGCTTACCTTGTCTCAAGGGAAAAGGATTTGTAGGATTAGTACTATAAATATGTATCTTTGCTCTTCTATTTTTATTCAAACAATAAATTTCAGTATTTAGTTGTAAATTAACTTTCTTTTATCACGTTCTTTAGTTCTTTCGTAGAAGCGTCCTAGTTTTACAATGCGTGAGATCCAATCACGCGTCATTATTCTTATATAGCTCTACTTTCCTGAAGGTTTAGATCATGTCTATGATTTGTTTAAGGACCCTTAAAGTCCGGTTATCATATTTTAGGGTCGAAAGCATATGTTGGTTAGAAGGTTTATTTAACTATGTCTACGATCTGCCTAGTCTTTGGAGCCTTGAATATGAGCAGTGTTAATGAATATGTACTGGGTGTCAAAACCTATCACTTTGTAGTTAGAGGCAATGTGGGTGTGACTGAATGATATGGTGTTTAGAGGCAATGTGGTCAAGATAGAACAATTGGTGTTGTTTCTTGCTTAGACACACGTGGGTGTTTTGTCTTCACCATCTACTGTCAATTGCATAACAGTCTTCACATGCTTGTGAGATTGGAAGTGAAGGCAATGTGGGTTTATGGGAGAGATAGCTTAGACTCTTCTAAGTGTTCTCTTTGTTATCTGATGGGACGGGATACGGTGACAACCCCGATTCACAACCAAGGGTATTTTGGGTATGAAAAAAATAATATATTATTTATCTTTTTGTATTAATTATATTGAGAATTAAAAACCCATTTTAAATATAATTTTTTTTTAAATTTAAATCCTATACATTAATATCTCTATCTATCTCTCTCTCTTCCTTTCTCCAGCGGCCACTCCGCATCGACGGACAGACTTTTTCTCTGGCGAATTCTCTCCGGCAGACTCCCTCCGGCAACCTGAAAAAATGTATCAGTGCGTTAAAAAGTGTACCAATCCATTAGTCTACTGGTAATTAATCTACCAGTGCGTTAAAAAATGTACTTGTACTAGTGGTACGCTACCAGTACAGCACTACCACTACCATATTGTATCGTACCACTAGCACTGGTAGCGCTACCACTAGCATTGGTAGCGGTACCAGTAGAGAATAACACAAAAAAACGGATGATAGTGGTACCAAATGATAGTGGTACGCTACCATTACCAGCTACCTTATGGTAGTGGTAGGTACCACTATCACTGGTACGCTACCAGAAGAAAAATGGTACCACTAAAAAACCAGATCTATAAAAGGGGAGTCGGTGACGGGAGAGAGAGGTAGGGGAAGAGAGTGACCTCGCGACGGCGGCAGTGGTGGGGGACGAAGGACGGCGAGAGGGCTCCGACGGGGAGATGATGATTGTGCCACGGTGGTG